AGTACAAGGGAAGAATCACTACCCTGCTCCTGCTGGCCACACTGTTCCTGATCCAGGCCAGGATGCCCTTGGCCTTCTTGGCCACCTGGGCACACTGCTGGCTCATGTTCAGCCTCCTGTCAATCAGCACTCCCAGATCCCTTTCCCCCTGGCTGCTCTCCAACCACTCTGTGCCCAACCTGTAGCGCTGCAGGGGGTTGTTGTGGCCAAAGTGCAGGACCCGGCACTTGGCCTTGTTGAACCTCATCCTGTTGGAATCAGCCCAACTCTCCAGTCTGTCCAGGTCCCTCTGCAGAGCCCTCCTGCCTTCCAGCTGATTGACACTCCCCTCCAGTCGCTGGCTGATACTTCAAGTCTCTTAACAAAGCTCAGTTTTACTGTGTGAAGCATTTTTGATAAGACATAATATTTCCAGATCAGTACCACCAGTTCAGACCTGCAGTCTATAGGTAACAATAATTTACTTAATATCTTGAAATATCCTCTACCTAGCTTAGAACTCAAGTTTCAGTCATGTCATTGAGATGGTCAATATTGCGAAGCTTGTCAGATCTTTTGTCCTACTGCTTGATGAGCATTAACTGACCCAGATCTGTGTTTATCACCTGATTATTTATCCTTTCATATCTTTGCTGCAAGAATTCTTTGTTTGACTTGAACTACAAAAGATTTGTGCTGTCATCTACAGAAATCCCCTAAAATGAATGTTTATATCCTCGAAATCCTTCTCAGTTCTTACTGAATTCTAAACATTTAGATGCTTTATGTTAGCAAAATCCTTAACAAATTGAAGTATATGCTTCTGAGTCTTCAGAGAAGCATTTATATCCTGGCATTGAGCAATCCATTGAGAATTTTAGATACTCAATCCTATTTTCATTTCTGTGAAGTTATTTCTAAATGGGATAAGGTATGTTAGCATGCACCTTAGCATTAAAAAGCATAGAAAAGCACCTTAGATTTTAACAGACATTTTTTTTTCTTCAAGGTGGTTATAAAAAACCATGGAAATGTAGATGAAAAGTATGGGATACACAGCTTCTAAATTATCTTCATGTGGAGAATCCTAGAATCTTTTTATTATTTTTGCATTCTTATTTCAGAATAGTGAAATCAGAAGTTTGGCTTGGTTCCAGGTCAGGAAAACAATGCTGTGCCAAACATAGAGGAGTTCATGAGTGCAGAGAGCTGGTTTTTTTTCTCAACCAGCCAGTTTTGTTGGTAATGAAAACAACAGAATAGAGATGGTTACATATGAAGAAAAGGCAGAGAAAGCATGTGGTTTTTTTAATAAGAGAATAAACCTGATTCATCATTCATGTAAAGTGCACTTCAAACAAACCAATCAATGAAGATTAAATGAAGAATAACCGAGAGTCCTGAAAAATGCAGAAGTGGACATAATTTCACTTAGGTTTTCATTTCCTTTTAGAGGTTATTGACTGAACACCTACTTGGAAAGCAGAATGCAGTATCATCAAAGAGGTTTCTAAGATTGTCTCATTTTTAATTGTCTCTTTCTTTTAGAAATGGAACTGAGCCTATTGAGTTTTAAAAAGAACTTCACGTCTCACATCATTGTTTTTGATTTTCAAGTGATAATCCACGCATATACTCACACAATGAGAGAGTATTAGTGATGTCTAATGCTTGAAACTAATTTTTTCTTTGCAGGATTCAGATAATGTATTCACTTTGTTTCTTGCCTCTGCCACCTTCAAGCCTGTTTTCTGTTCTACAGTCCCTGTTGGTGGTGGAGCTGCAGGTATATTAAGTTTTGCAAAAGACTTGAAGACCATTTAATCATTTTACAATAAGTTCATGAGTTGAGGACCCTTCCTCAGTTTTTAAATGTTGAACTACATATGGCATGTGGCCTTCCTCATTCAAATACTGTCTGATCTGTGGCAGTAGCACAGGTGTCTAAGAAAGCATCTCCCACCACCCTTGCTCCTGCTACATGGATATTATACAAGCTGCCTCTCTTACTGCATGTTGGGTATGAGAGAATAAATTTGGGAGATGGGGTCGATTTTGGTGTTTGCCAGAGCTCTGCTTTCTCAGGACCAGCTGAAGACTCCCCATTCTCTAATCATGAGGCTGGTTGGCACCTCGCTGCCCTGATGAAAGCCTCTGTGTTTTGTGGTCCCACTGCAGTATGTACATGTGAGTTCTAGTGCCTACACACCTTGCTGACATACCATACACAGTTTGCAAGTCACTCCTGTGACTCCCTGTCCCTTAATAACTTCGGGTTTTCAGGCCATAGTTTTTCTGCAGTGGTGAGTATTTTAAGAGCTGTGTCAGTTCTTCAGCCTTTGCACCCCAAGGCTCTTCTTGTGACCTTCACTTGGGGCTCAGGATCTTGCTTTGTTTTTTTTTCAGCTCAGGATCTTACCATAGTAAGGAGCTGATGTCCTAAACAGGAATTGAGAGTTTAAATATTTCCTGAATCTTATGCGTTGTATTTAAGAAGGCTGCAAAACTGCTCACGACTAGATATTTCATTACAAATATAAAGGCATTGTAAAATTTTGTGGTCAGTTTACATACACTAAATTTTCATATTTCATGTTCCAATAAATTTAAAGTCAAATGCTCTTGAAATTTCTGTTTAAAGATTCTTGTTACTGTGAGGCAAGCTTAATGCTCTTTGGTTTGGTTTTTTTTTTCTGTACTTGATAACCACATGGTGTGAATGTCAAGACTGCTTTCTTATTTAAATAATAGGTAAGTACAAAGTGATTAGTTTAACTTCTTTCAAGCACTAAATTATAAGCTATTTCTAGGCATTTTGAGAGAAATAATGAGTACCTCCTGGTAGGTTATTTATTTTTTTTAAAGATAACTGCCATCTTCACAAATAGCTATAACATATAAAGAAGTAAACATTTTTAAAGCATTTTGTTTTACTCATTTAACTGGGAATATGCTCATATTGGGGACTATAAAATGATTTTCTGGAAGCTTATCATGGGACAGGAGTTTGATATCTCAGTGAATAGAAACCCAAGCGTAAATTCAGCATTGTCTCCTGCTGGAAGGAGTGTTTCATTGAACATGGTATCTCTTTTATGTTTGGTTCCTGTGGATATTGCTGTACTATCCTTTCCTTTTTCTTCTCTTTTCTTCTCCTTTCTTTCACCACTGCTATTTTTTTTTTCCTTCCTCAAGAGAATCAGCAAACATACATATGGTTTTTCTGCATGTAGTTCTTGCTTTCTTCATTTGACTTCTGGCATTGTATTCTCATGAGCAATTTTCATGTTGCCCCATGGGATTAAGAACAGGAATAAAATACTGACATAGTGGAACTCATAGTAAAAGGATTCCCTAGAAGGGCATATTTTCCTTAAACGGCACCAAAACCAACTTTCAGGTTTTTTCTTCTGGAATGTGTCTTGCTCAAAACCCTGGGGAGAGAAGACATGAGAGATTGGTGCCTGTTCAAGTTAGTCAGACCGTGGGAAGTGTGCTTTGCTTCTTTCCTTGCTTTCCAAGTTTGGGCATGCAGGGCATTTGGAAACAGTGTTATTCTATAAAGTGCTAGGCTGGCCTTAAAAGCCCAGCTTTTCCTATGTCTTGGAAACAGCAGTTGATTTCCCTACAGTTGGCCCTTTCATTTTGAATCAGTTGGTACCAATTCTGTGCAGTTCAAATACATCTGAATGTTAAAGGCATGAAATTCAACAATAAATAAATTAACCATGTTTCCAGTTTTGATCTTGGTAGCAGTATCCTCATTGGGTGATCTGGTATGTTTCCAGGGACTAAAGTAATGGTCAGAATTCAATTTGAAATTCTGAATTTAAGGAAGTCTATATAAAAATTTTTGAGTAGTGTTTTATTAGCACACAGAACACTGTGGATTGTTGCCTAGGGATATTTTCTGTGTAAAAAATGCTTTCTTTAACTTGCTATGAAATGAAACATTTATTTCCTATCAGGTCAAACCAACTATAAACTCTTTTATTAATTTAAGAATACAAAGACAGAGGAGTATGGTATTGCTTTGGATCCTTGTGGAAAATATGAAGAGTATATAAAATTTTTTGAGAGAGGAGAGGAGAGGAAACTTGTGGCTCTGCCCTGGTAAGCAGGGCAGAGTCAGGAGTTCATCAGATGGGGTTCTAGCCTTGCTTCATGGCACCAAGATGTTTATGTGCATTGGTCTTCCAGTTCACTGCTCTTACTTGTTTTGAGTGTGATCATTTTGCATAGGTTGCATGTAGAACAGGTGTCTATTGTCATCTAGTACTGAGTTTATGCCAAGAGGTACTGTCTTAAATGTATTTAGTGCGAGAAGTGGGATGAAAGAGATTCTACAGCAGTACATGAAAGTAATTTATCGGTGTGAATGCATTGCATGCCTTCTGTAATGTAGTTTGTCTGTCTTTGAAGAAGATGAGATGAGATAGATGGTGACTGGAGAAGCTTTTGATTCTGAATGTTTTTCTTTGTTAAATAATAAAAAAAATCAAGTGTAATGTTCTATTCAGATTTGACTCTGTTAGAATTCCTTACCTGACTGGGGAGAAATAATACACATAAAGGAGAATATCTTATTTGATGCAATTATAGTAACAGACCTTCACTGTCTTTTAAAAGTAGTTGGAGTTCTTAAAAATAGTGAAAGTGTTTGGGGCATCAGAAATTTACATGCGTTTTCTTCCCTGGGAATTAATGGGAGTATAGATATTCACTTAAATTGTTTGTGTTATAGCTGCCTAAATTATATATGTGAAAGCTTAAAATTCCTGATAGTTTTAAACTCAAAATTACTGTAAGCATAAAATGGCTTGTTTACAAATAGACACTACCTTTTGAAAGTTTTGACTTTAATTAAAAAATATCACTTTCTTTGACAGCTAAATTCTAGGCATGGGAAGTCCTTGGGGAGCAAAATACACATGTAGTATGTGATTTTTCCCCCAAAGCGCCTTCCATAAGCATATATGATGAAACATTGCACAAATATAACTTTCACCTTTGCATTTCAGGAAAACCAGATACATCTGCTGAAGCTCTTCTGAATCGGGAATCTATAAACCCTGCGAGTTACTCAAGCCAGCTAGAAGACTCTGGATGTGATGTCTCTAATGACTCTGCCTTTGATTCTTTAGGCATAGTTTCAGATTTTCACCAATCTGAGCAAAATGTCAAAGTCCCCCCATTGAACCTTTGCCGTACTAGCAAGGAGCAATCTCTGACTGCTCCAGTGCAGTTTTTGCAACATTTGCTTGAAATAAGAAAACTGTCAGAAGGAGGGATTCTACAAGCAGACTTCTCAGAGCTTGAGAATGATTCTTTCACCATATGCAATTCAGTGTCTCAGTTACTTGATGGACTGACTGTTTTTTACAACAATCCTAAATTTCCAGTTTCAAATTGTCTTACTGAAGCAGTTTGTGTTTTGGTCAGTTTAATAACTGATGCTAAACTATCTAATCATGTTTTAAAGAAGTGTTTCAAGAAGCTGGAAGAATTTAAGAAAAATCTAATTCAAATTATTTTAAGAAACAGCAGTATCAATAGGGTAAGTTTAAAATATCTTCCCTCTTTCCTACCCTACTTCAGTATAATGTAATATTCTTCTAGTTTTACGCGCTTCTTAAATATCAGTTTGTCTTATTATATTTCAAAGAGTATCACTCCGAGATTTTTGTGATTGTTCTTTTTTGCGACATGGGCAATAAATGCTCTACAGCATTTGAAAAAGTTCTTGTTCATGCGTGCAAGAAGTTCTGTCCTGTTCCTGAGTGTAGGTCTTTTAGGAACCGATAAAAAGGTAGCTTAAAGCAACTTTATAGAAAATGTGAGAGAAAAACACATTGTTTCTCTTGATGAAGATATATTGTAGGTATTCAAAAAGTAATGAATATGCAATTTTTTTTATTCTTTCTTGAGCACCTAAGTAAAATAGGTTGGTTTACTGCAGAAGATCTGTCACCCTCTAGATATTTGCAAATTTTTGTTTTAAAAATATGGCAGCAAATGAGGGAAGAATGCAGAAATAGCATGTCTCCAGCACAGATAGTAAATAGCACTGAATTGCATTTTCTTTGTATGCATCAGTTTATGTTGTTAAATGCATCGGTTAGTTTCCTCATTCAACTACAGTATGCCTGGCCTGTCTTCATAAGATGCCCCACAAGTAATGAATTCCATTGCCTGTCTTAGGATTTTTGCTTTTCATTCTAACCTTTAAAGTAACTTGGTACAGACATGATGGTGGTATTGCTTGAGACTTAGATGTACCAATTTAGTGTCCCAATGTTTGTAACTGCACTATCATTGTACTAAATGAGGATCCCCTGTAATCCTTGGAGCCTAAAGAATGCTGACCAGGTATTAGGTGCCTATTTTAGAGTGAGCTCCAAAGTTGTGTTAGCATGAGAGCCTAGACACGTGCTACACATGTGGATGGATGTACCCATTTGCCTTAATTTAATATGAATCTCACTATGTATTGAATGTTTACCGCAGAACAAAAACATCAAACAAATATTATTACCAAATTAAGAGGGAGTTGGCTAGGAAGGATATACCTGTATTTTGGTTAGAAAGTATTCAGAATGAAATCTTTCCAGGACTAGAGCCTTGTGTCTGTAATACCAGAGTGCTTTCCATTTCAGTGTCACCACAGTGTGATACTTAGTTTTTAGTTAGAGGTGTCCCTGGTCGATATTTTGAAAGAATTTGTCTTTATCTTCCATTTGTGTGGTGTCAGGAATGGAGTTGTACAGATGTGACTCCTTTTTTTTTTTTTTTTCTGTGTGATCACTAGATACAGAAAATAGAGAGTTTGAGCAGTCCTTCATTGAGAACTTCGTCATTGTTGATGATGTCCAGTGTTTCCACCCTTTCCCTTCCTGTGCCCTAATGGGAAGTCAATAAATAATTAAAGCAGTGTTAATTGTAGGAGAGCAATCAAGAGGTTATCCAGAGAGGGATTATTTGTTGATTGGAGGAACCTGAGAAAGTTTAAGTTAAGTGAGAGAAAATACCCTGATAGATCAGGGATGTTTCAAGTCTGCAAAATGCTTTTGTAAATCCTTTGGAGTATGTCCACGTAATTTGAAAGAGGCATATTATGAATAACTTCATTAAAACAGAGGTGTTTTTATTATGTCTTGCTTCCACCAAAATATTGACTTAACAGTCATTACTATGTACAGCCATTACATGAATCAAACAGATGAAAAGAGTTTAAAACTGTATAAACCAATTACTAAGGTATAATTGTGGAGGTTCCCAGATTTCTAGGGGAACAGGGAAAAAGTTGTGTGTAGTAATTGCAATGTTTATAAAGATTAGTTGAAAAATCTTTTTAGAGGTTTGTTTTTCTTTAAACTGAATTGAATATGGAAATAAATACACAGAATTCAGAATTAATAGTGTAAATTTTATAACTATGGGACACTAAATTGGATCTATGAATATGCTATGTACTAAAGATCTCGCAGGGATCCTTTATAATTCAGTTTTAATCATCACTGTTTACTCAAGTGGTGATTGAACTGTCAAGATTATATGTTTAAAATAAAATTACCATTAATTACAAGGCTGGAAAGAGTGGCAAACTGTGTGAATTTCAGTTCCAGGAAGATGCCTAAATCCCTCCAGTATAAAAATATTAAGAATTTTATTGTATCTAATCTTACTGCCAAAAAGCATTTGTATTGACAGCCATCGATAACAGCTTATAGTATTTGACACAACTTTCCCTTTACTATCCTCACCTATAAAACTGTCAAGAGCTTTCAAGGACAAAAGGCTGTGAGAAACACCTTCGAAAAGTGAACAAAGAGCAAAGGGGCTGCGGATTACATTTAATGCCTCATCTTCAAAAGCAGTCTCAGCATTTTTTAAAGCAAGTTAAATAACTTTGAGAATTGGAAAAGAGATAATTATCTCTGCATTAGATATAAAGGAAGAAAAACAGCAGCAGAATTACTTGCTGTAACTGTTGAGTCCTATTGTTTGAGATGTTTCTAATTATAAAGCATTTGAAGCTGCAGGAACCAGCAAAGACATGTCCTCAAAAATTTTTTTCCTAGATTCAGCTGCCTAAAGCTGTGCACTTTGGATGCAGTTTTTGGCCTGAAACTCCAAATTGACAAGAGTATCAAAAGGACAAAAAAAAAAAAAAAGGTCTATCAATGAAGATATGTGAGGTAAAATAAAAGGTAATATTACTTAAAATATAAAAATTATTTAAATAAAAAAACTTCAAATAGAAGTAGCCTCTTGTATTTCCCTTTCCCTTCAAATGGACTCTACTACCTTCAAATGGACTCTTGAAAACATGGGAAAACATTTCCTGTGAAAAACTCTGGTAGAAGCTATGGTATGTAATTACAGCTCCTAACAAATTACTTTGTCACTTCTCCTTCAGAGGGGAAGCACCAGAACATTTTTTTCCTTAATCTACCCATTTGGGATTTGACAACACCTGTCTCCATCCACCTCCACAGGGACATAGCAAATGTGCATTTCTCCTGTTTCTAGTTGCATCACTCACTCACTGATACTGGAGGGTGCCTGTTCTATTGAGGTTTGTCTCTGTTGTCCAGGATGTATTAGAACAGGGGATCATTTCTCCTGTACCAGAAAAATGCAACAGTCAGAGGCACTGAGGATTCCCAACTTGCTGTGCTCCTTAGAATAGCATATGTGGTTTATATTTCTGATAATACTGTAATTTGAAGCATGGCTAATGCACCAGTTATGTACCAAAAGATCCTAGCCTTCACCCTGGGTTCTGTACAGAGCTCTGTGTCTCTTTCTTGGAGGTCTTGTTTTAAGGAGTTAATCAAAACACAAACACTGCCTTTAGGATTCTAGAGTAAGGTCGAGCTGTGTTGGGCTCCTGTTCAACAAATACCTCATGGCTCTGGCCCATCTCACTCATGGTCTCTTTCAAACAAGACCCAGAAGGAAGAAGGATGCATTTCAGTGATATGTCATGGTTTGCTTCTTCTCGTGTTGTTTCAACATCAATACTGACTTTTAAGAGTCATGAATTACCTGCTCCATTCAAACAGCATACACACACAAAAAAAGGTTATTGATATTTCCTTTCTCTTTTTTTAACCCTTTTCACTTTTGGAAAAGCATGTTCCATCTAGTTGTGTGTGACAATATATTCCCCCGACTGTGTGTAGTTTGCACTATCTTTTGTCAGCCAGGACTGCCTTAACTCATCAGTTTACAAGAGTCTTGCCTGCTCAGGGACAAATAAGATTTAGAAATAGTTATTCATGTCACTGGTGGTTTTCAACTATAACATTAGTGGGCTTCAGTTTTCCTAAATTAGTTGAGTCCCAAGGGGAATGCCATGGATACATTTTCACATTACATTACATCAAAGAATTTTGCCTATATAGTGGAAGAAAATTTCATTTGTATGAATGTTAAAACATGTCGCCTGGATTTTAAGGTCTACTAAGGGTCAATGTTTGAATCTCTTATTTGTTGAATTAAATTTTCTCAGCAACCTTTTGTCTTATGTAGAGTGCTGTTTAAGTGAAATGTAAAGCAAAATCCATTGTCTTGTGAATCACTACACTGTGAAGCAATCACCAAACTGACTGACTCTCGTTTCCTTCAGTAAAGTGGATCATAGGAGCAGCTAGACAGGAATGAATTAAAGAAAATTTCGTCCACCTTCCCTCCTCAGCCAGCCTCAGATGATACACATCGTGCACTAAAGCTAAAATTTCAGAAAAGCTACAGGATGAAGCTAGCAGAATTTTCTTTTACCTTTAGGGAAAAAAAGTTTTATTCATGGTTTCCAACCTGTCTGTGATGCTGTTTGCTCAGCAGCATCTCTTTTCCTAATAACAAATATTGTCACTGCCTATTTTTGTGCAAGTAATTAACTAGTATTCAGAGTATTTTGGATTATTTCCATTTGGAGAAGAAAAGGGGTGGAATAGGCTTTTGCTCTTCTTTTGGTTTACAAACAAAATATGTAGGGGCCCTTAGTGGAAGATTACAGAAGGTCTTGGTTTTGTTGAATATGATAGGAAATATTTATCAAAAGCTGTTTGTTTCTTTCCTCTACCTCCAATCTCTCTCCATTGAATGCTTTCTGTCATAGCTCTCTCTCTGTAGCTTCATATTAGCAGTGTCATTTTGCTTCTTTGGCATCTCTTTGATATTTGCAGATGAGACAAAGTGGAACTGTAGTGTCAAAGCCCATCCCTCAGCCTTTCACTTAACATACCTGGGTAAAATAATTTGAATTCTATATAGATCTTGTTTTCTGTTATCGTAGACACGTTATTGAACAAAAGGATCTAAAATTGTTCCGTCGTTTGGTCTCAGGCGTGCCTTAGTAGTTTGTTATTCAAAGGGGTGACAGGACCACCTTAGCTCCAACATATTATTACTTATCCCAACTCTTCAGTTCCATTCTGGTTACTTTCAGGCCACTTTTAGCACTGTTCCTGCTATGATGATTGTCTTTCTCTTCAAGGAAAAATTCATTTTGTTGGTGTTTGGGTTTCTTTTCCTTAGGGGAAAATTACC